CAGCATCTTTTTCTGGGTCTCCCATGTGAGTGCAGGGGCCCAAGTACTTGGGCCATTCTCCCCTGCTTTCCCAGGTACATTAGCAGGGAGCTGGATTGGAAGTGTAGCAGCTGGGACACAAACCAGCACTCATATGGAGTTCTGATGCTACAGAGGTGGCTTAACCTGCTATGCCATAGCATCAGCCCCTACATACAACAATGTTAAGGTAAGTTTATGGACTGGATATGGATGTTGTAAAAAACTCCTTTCAGACATACCATATTAAGAGGTTGCAAAAGGAGAATTGGAACATCAACATGACAGTTAATTTTATAGAGTCATTTGCAGTCAATTTCTGATACTGAGGCTTTTTAAATTTTTATTTATTTATTTATTTATTTTTACTGGCTTCCCAATCACTCTTAGTATATTACTCCTTGGCAGAGGATGTCTGAACATGTTACATTTCTGAGTCAATTCCTCGGCTCAATGATTCTTAATCGCTTTTTCTTGAAGTGTCATGGACCTGAATTTTTTGAGAAGTTAATGGAAGCCATAAACACTTTCCCCAGAAAAGGCTGTTTGTAATTTAAGATGTGGATGACAAGCGAAAAATCTCAAGTTATTCATCAGACCTCAAGTTGCTCTTCTTCTTCCTTCAGGAACCCATTCATTTTCCTTAAACCAGCAACTGTGCAGACAGGGCAGTAATAGACACAGCGCAAATAGCTGACTGCACCACAGTAAAACAGGTCTATGCTGACTCTGCTTCTACAGCTCGTGCTGATGAAGGCAGGAGCCTAAATTTGCTCCAAGCCCAGTTAAATTCATTTAGCAAGTCGCACTTGTGCACACACTATACACTGGGTTTTGTGACAGGTCTAACAATGGCCAGTGACCAAGATGTGGTCCTGCTCATGTTTAGTGGCACAGAGCGTTGGAAACAAATCGTTCTACACCAGTCTTGTCCCCTGCACAATATCAGATGGCTTCTCAAATCCTCACCAAGTCACCTCACATGCCCATTAAGTTTCTCAAAAAAGATATTACTGGAAAAATTTCACATGAAAAACACCTTACAGATGCATAGCTTATTACCAATGAACTCTGTACAAATTTCTCTATACGTTTCCAAGAGTGGGGAGTATCTGTTACGTTCCTAGAAGTAGACTTATCAGAGCCAAGGGTTTGAATATCTAACTGTTTGATATTGAGACCCTAATTGTCTTCTAGCAAAAGGTAGTGCCAATTTCCTGCATCAGGAAAATGTCTGTCGTTTATGAGTGACGATCCTTGTTCAGTGATGAATTTTGCGAGCAGTAGTGCCATCACCTCACATGGACCTCTGCATGCGTTCTCATTTCATTCCTGTTGAGTCTCCCTCGATGTCTGCTCTGGAGGACTCCTATCACCCTCTGTTTCCAGGGCAAAGCATTTGCCTTAGAATCACCTGCTCCTCTAGCAGCCCCGCCCCTAACATGCACCAGCCTGCAGGCTTCTCTCCTGTTGGCTGCTCTGGCCCTGGTTCTCCTTGCTCCCAGCTGGCTTCAGGCCCCTGAGGATGATGTCTCAGGTGCCTGGTCCTAACCCCTTGTAACAAAACCACTCCTGTCTTCTCCCTTGCAGGTAGAATGGATGCAGCTCAGCTTGGATAAGGTTCTGGATTGAGGAGAAGAACATGACTTGGAAGGAAGGAGGGAGACGGTATCTTTTTTCTTTGAGCTATGGGTGTAAGCTTTTCAACTTTATTTTGATGATCAGATTTTTGTTGCTTTGAATGGAACTTCTCACTGAGGCTGGCTTGGAGGCAGGAACTTGTGGCCTGGCCTGACAAGGATCATAAGGGCCAGGGCCATCAGTAGCCCTTGTGCCAAGGCGCACACAGTGCCGCCACTCACGTCAGTCAGACATGCATGGCACTTTATATACAACAAGCAGATGCAGGCCGCACGAGTGCACATTCATTAACTAAAATACTTGGGAGGAGTTTCTTGGGAAAGAGAAGGTTTACTTCATCTTCTAGTTTGAGTTCACAGGATGGGGAGGCCCAAAAGTCCCTCAGCTGATGGAGGCTGGCTACAGTGAGTACGGTGGTGGTGACTGCATGGTGAACCGGGAAGGAGAGCGTGAGGCTAGTCTGAACTTGAACTGGAATACTCAAACCTGTTAGGAGGCTGCACCATGCTCCTAGTGACCCAGAGACCTCCCATGGCCCCAACTCTCAGATGCTGTCATTAGAACAAAACTCTATCCTAATCAATCAGCCACTCATATTAAGACACCAGAGTTTAAGCAGCTGCATGAGATCTGGGGACACAAATCCTGCTGAACCCATAACACAGTCCTGTGCCTTTCCTACAGGATGAATCAGCTCTGAGCCAGGATGTCCGGTGTGATAAGAAAAGGGCAGGTTGCACTTCAGGCCCCACTCATATTCTGGGCTGTATGCCAGAATATGAAAATATGCACTGCCCTGTGCAAATGTATACAGCAGTCCTGATGGTGGGTTCCAAACTCAGCTGCTACTGCAAGGGACTCCAGGTCAGCAGCCTGTGCTGTGCTCAGGGAGACAAACATGGCCCAGCACTGATCTGAGGCCTCAGCCTCAGCCAACTCTTCTTCCTTCCAAAGTCCCTGCTTCTGCTTACTCTACTCCTCTGGCCCAGTTCTCGCTCCTGGGTCCCAAGGGTGAAAATGGCCATATTGAGGGATTTTGCTGTAGCTTGTCTTGCTCCTATTAGAGGGAACTTTTACATTTTTTATTTTTTTTAAAAAGATTTATTTATTTATTTGAAAGAGAGAGACAGAAAGAGAGACAGAGAATCTTTCATCTGCTGGTTCACTTCCCAGATGGCTGCAACAGACAGGGCATCTTCCTGGTCTCCAGTGTAGGTGGCAGGGGACCAAACACTTGGGCCATCTTCTACTGCTTTCCTCAGGCCATTAGCAGGGAGCTGGATAGGAAGTGGAGCAGCTGGGACATGAACCATCACTCATATGAATTGCTGCCGTTGCAGGTGGTGCTTTTACCCGCTTTGCCACAGTGCTGGCTCCCAGAGCAAGTTTTGTGTTGAGCTGGTTGATGGCTTTTCATTCTGGATCCAGCTTTTCTATTCTGAGGGCTTACGACATCCTCTCATTAGCTTAACTTTGCTGGTGATGAGACTGTGGAAGTTAATGCCAACTGCCATAATAGCGGCCTAACATAATAATCACAGCTGCCTAACATAAAAGTTGGTTTCTGGGAGTGGGCACTGTGGCATAGCAGGTTGTCGCTCCTCCGGCACCGGACCGGACGCTGTTATTCCCTTGCTGTCGGTTTTTTCTACAGTAAAGCAAGCACAAGTAAAGAGAAGTACGAAATAACGAGCTCCCCAGCGAACTCTCCACCAGCCCGGAGACAGTAGTTGTCCCAGAAAGTGCAGTTGAGTCTCCTTCTATAGTCCTCTTCCACCAACCCGTGCTCCGCTGCCCACATGCTGAGCACGCCTCTTTCTTCCAATCAGAGGTTGGGTCAGCTCCTGCAACTCATTAGTCAAATTGATGAAGCAGCCAAAGCCGCTGTGTAGAACTTGTTTACTCCCTCTCAGCGCCATGTTGTGGGAGCCGGGCCCTGCTTCCCACTCAGGTAAAGACACCGCCTGCAGTGCCGGCATCCCATATGGGTGCCAGTTCGAGTCCCAGCTGCTCCACCTCTGATCCAGCTCTCTGTTGTGGCCTGAGAAAGCAGTAGAAGATGGCCCAAGTCCTTGGGCCTCTGCACCCACATGCACCCCGAGGAAGCTCCTGGCTCCTGGTTTTGGATCAGCTCAGCTCTGGCTGTTGCGCTATTTGGGGAGTGAACCAGTGGATGGAAGACCTCTCTCTCTGGCTCTACATCTCTCTGTAACTTTTTCAAATAAATAAATCTTTAAAAAAAAAAAGTTGGTTTTTGACTTGTATTCAATTGTAGTGATTTAGGGATGCAAGCTCTTTCTATATCCCTGTTCTGCCATTTGAACCTGAGCCAGGAGAAGGGGAAAGAGAGGGCAGAGATGGACTCATTTGACTTACACATGACCTTGCTAATTTCCGCACATCTTCTGTTGGGAGGAAGTAGTCACATGGGGCCTAGATGCTGGTGCATTCGTGCATTTTCCATTACTATGAAGAAATTTCTATGGTAAGCTACATTTATAAAGAGGTTTATTTAGCTCACAGTGTGCGGTCCAGGTGGAAGGCCCACATATGGTGATGGTCTTCCTGCTGGCAAAGTCAGTCCCACCTCACATGACCCCCTGACGCACGTGTGTGTGTGTGTGTGTGTGTGTGTCTGGTCTTTCTCCCGCTTATAAATCCCCAGAATTCAATCATGGGAAGCCCAAGCTCCACCTTTCTACTTGCTCAACACTTCCCAAGGGACTTAAACACAACCCCCTGGGAAACACTGGAACCCATTCCACAGCCTTCTATCGGGAGGAACTGGTCACACGGGGCCTAGATGCAGGTGCATGAGTGCATTTGTCCATACCGTGATGAAATTCCCATGGTAAGGTGCATTTAGCACAGGGGTTGCTGGGAACAGCAGAAGGGGAGCCCCACGCCATGGCGAGCAGGGAGCAGTCTCCGCCCCGGCCCGCCTGCCAGCTGCCCTTCTGTTGTGTGGGGAGAAATCCTTACCCTTTACTCAACAACGGGCTCTGCCCAGAGACCTAACGAGGCTTCAGGTGGGATCAGATTCGCCTCCGTCTCCCTTCAACTCAAGGTCACAGGTAAATGTGCCACGGGGTCACTCTGGAGCGTCTCCCTGATTCCCCCGCTCCCCGTCATGATTTGTGACTGTTTCGGTTCGCCGGGGACTAGGGAGAGAAGGAATTTTTAATTTCGGGGAGGGAGGCCGGCTCGGGAACTCGGGGGGAGGCTCACGTGACCGCGCCGGCACCCAGGCCCCCAGCCCGGCAGCCGCGCGGGGGCGCTTTCCTGCGGAGGTGTCCTCCGTCGTGACGTCAGAGGCGGCGCCGTTGCCTTGGTAACGGCACCCGCTCCGGATGCCGTGTGCGCAGGCGCCGACTTCAGAGCTCTCTCGGTGCTGACGCGGAGTTAAAAATGAATCTCGCTGCCTCCCCCAGGCGACTTAATCGCCAGGAAGATACTATCCGGTACTCGTGCGATCCGAAGGCGGACACGGCCCTAGGGAGTGGTTGGTGCTGGCAGGAATTCTTTCTTTTCACACAAAAAGCTTTGTGTTCCACGAAGAGGAAACCCCGGTCCACCGTTCGCAGGGCTCGTGGCTTCCGCCTGTTTCGCGTGAAAAAACCTCGTGGAATTATGTGGCCGGTTGTCCATGAGTCCTGCTCCAGGATTGGAGAGTTCTGGAAGTAGTACAGAGGTGGGCGCCGTTAAGGTGCCAGCCTGGTAGAGAGCAGGAGGCACCTGCACACAAAGCCCGTGTTCCAGCTACCCACCTGCAGCAACGCGCCCCCTCTCTTCCCTTGCAGCCCTTCTGAGTGGGAGGAGACCAAACACCCAGGCGTGGGCACCACGCTGACCCGAGGCGCGCCCTCTTCCTGTCGGTGTGATCCTGACCCCCTTAACGGACACCACTGAGCTTTGGGATCTGCTCCGCAGGGCTTTAAGGAATAGCTGGTATAAATGTGAGAACCGTCTGGACCATAATCAGAACTTGAATGATGGTTATTTAGAATATTTCTTAAACTTTCTAGTCCACGGTTGACATTAGCACACAATAGGCCTTTGCACAAATTAAAATAGACAAACTGACCAAAGGTGCTTCCTCTAGCAGCCTGATGCAGCCCGGCGCTGGCCCACAGAGGCTTACAGCTTGATGAGAGGCGCATAGCTGTCCCATCAGCACAGAACAGCCCTGGCTGTGACTTGCTGCTTCTATCCTGTCTCAGTAACCTTCTTGGAAAGGAACCCGAAGCGTGAGGTCTAGTAGGACTATCTTGAAAAATTCAAAATAAGTAAAGTTTCTTTTTAAAAATTTTATATGATTTGTTTGCAAGGTAGAGTTACAGAGAGAGGGAGAGACAGGGAGAAAGGTCTTCCATGCACTGGCTTGCTCCCTGGGCTATACTATGGGATCAGGCCTTGAAAGTTCTTTTCTTTAATAGAATATTTATCTATTTATTTGAAAGCCAGAGTTACAGCAAGAGAGGGACAGACAGAGAAAGAGGGGGAAAGAGATCAGCTGGTTTTTACTCCCTAGATGGCTGCAAGGGCCGGGGCTGGGCCAGGCTGAAGCCAGGAGACTGGAGTTTCTTCCTGGTGTCCCACGTGGGTGGCGGGGGTCCAAGAACTTTGGGCCATCTTGCGATGCTTTCTCCAGGCCATTAGCAGGGGGTTATATTGGAAGTAGAGGAGCCAGGACTTGAACTGGCACCCATAAGGGTTGCTAGTTTCATAGGCAGAGGCTTAACCCATTATGTCACAATGCGAGCCCCAGGGATTAAAGTTCTCAGTAGCTTTAACTACAGCAAATCAGGAGTCAGTTCAGCACTGCTGGTCCCTTCTGTTTTCCCTAGGACTGCTCATTCTCAGTGACTGCCCTGTTACAAGTTGCCAGCAGCAGCAGCATCAGCATCAGCAGTTTGGTTTTATTTCTTCTTTCCTGTTACTGGTTTTTAGGTTGGCTTATTGTAAGACGGCCCTGGTTGAGGTGCAACCTTCTTGCAGGTGGTATGGAATTTGACAGGTAAGTGTTGCCTGTGAAGCCTGTGTTCAGGGTGGCTCCTTGGGGCTGTTTTCTTCATTGAGTTGCATCCACTAGGAGCATTGGAGTCATTATTGTCTCAGTATGCACCTCCAAAGGCTGGCGGCTGGCCTGCACTCTCAGATAGAGACATTGGGTATAGTCTGGGTTCTCAGTGGGTTTGTAGTCTTGTGGGGGAAGCAGAAACCGAGGGGTATATTGATGTATTAGATAATCTTTGGTTGGGTGCTAGAAATTTTATAGGAGAAGTGTAAGACTTTGTGCAACATTAACTTTTTCCAGAGAGAGCTATTTGTACTTTTGGTAGGCTATTATTCTAGGGACATATCACTTTACTTACTTACTTACTTATTTATTTATTTAAAGATGTATTTATTTATTTGGAAGGTGGAGTTAGAGAGAAGCAGAGACAGAGACAGGTCTTCCATCCACTGGTTCACTCCCTAAATGGCCACAATGGTCGGAGCTGGGCCAGTCTGAAGCCAGGAGCTTCTTCTGGGTCTCACACACTGGTATAGAAGCCCAAGGATTTGAGGCATCTTCTACTGCTTTCCCAGGCCATTAGCAGAGAGCTGGATTGGAAGTGGAGCAGCTGGGACTCGAACCGGCACCCATATAGGATGTCGGCACTGCAGGCAGTGGCTTTACCTGCTACGCCACAGCGCTGGCCCCAAGGGACATATCACTTTAATCTTATTTGGGATTGAGATTGAGATAATTCGGAGATGTGTTTTAGTTTTGTGAGAGCTTGTCTATCTTATTCAACTTTATTTCTTGGAGATAGCTCTTTAAGGGTGTGTTTGTTGCATAATGGCTCCCCGAAGAGATCCATATTCTAATTCCTAGAACCTGTGAATGTTAGTTTTCTGCCTTAAAAAAGGGAGACAGCCCTGGATTTTCTGGGTGGTCCCAATGAAATTACAAGGAGACTTAGAAGTGGAAGAAGGGAGTGGGTGTTTGGCCTAGTGGTTAAGACATCAGTTGAGATACCCACCTGCTCAGCTCCAGCTCCTGGCTCCAGCATCTTGCTAATGTAGTCTTTGGAGGCATCCATGAGGCTCAAGTGATTGGGTCCCTACCACCCATATGAGAGACCTGGATTGAGTTCCCAGCTCCTGACTCTGGCCTTTGCCCAGCTCTGGTCATTACAGGCATTTGAAGGGGAGGGGGTGCACCAGCTCTCTCTCTCTAACTCTCTCTCTCTCCATTCCCTGCCCATCCCAGTGATAGACCTTGAGAGGCACCCTAACTGCGGTTGCCAACTTTAAAGATGGAGGATGAGGGGCACAGCTAGGGACTACCAGCAGCTTCTTCAGACTGGAAAAGGCAAGGAGAGAGAGAGAGAGAGAGTTTCAGGACACATGCATATCTGCATATTTGAGTTCAGTGAGACGCTTGTCAGATTTCTAACCTACGGAATTGTATAGTACACCTGTGTTATCCTAGGCATTCAATTTGTGATAATTTGTTGCAATAGACAATGAAAACAAGGTGTCCGCAGCTGAAAGTCCTGTTTACCAGAGCATTTTCTTGGTGGGTCCTGAACTCCAGGATTGGGCTCCATAGAGCTGTGAGACTTCTACAATCTTTACATTATATCTTTCTTCAATATTTTTGTTTTAATTTGTATGTATCTCATAAATACAACATTAGGAACCTCTTGCCTCATGGTTTCTGCTTCACTCTTACAAATCAGCAACTGCTGGACAACAAGAACTTCAAAGAGTTCAGAATCACATCTCTGCACTTCTCTTCCTTAAGGATCTGCTCCTTCAGGCTTGGGCTGCTTTGGCAGCCCGGAACTCAAATTTGTGTTCTTCCAGTTGTGACGCTTTGGTTTCTCAGCATTTGCCTCATCCTGCTGACCAATCAGCATTTATACATGGCAATATATGAATGGTAGCTATTTGTTGCTATGGTTATTGAGGTCAGGAAATCTAATGGCCTTGGTCGGTGGTCATGGCTTCTTTGAACCTTTTCCCCTTGTATATATAACAAGGGTTTCAGATAAAACAATCTCCAGGTTGTCTTCTAGCTCTTGCTGTCTTTAATTGTGGGGTCACTTTGTGTTTCAGACAGTGTTTAATTGTGGGGACACTTTATGTTTCAACCGTGTTGGTTGGTTTTATGGGATTCTAAGAGGTTGAGTCCTTGACAAGAAGACACTTCCAGTATCCTTATCATATTGGTCAAATAAGGCCTATTTGAGTAGAAAAAAATTACAGGAATGAGTAGTGTTTGTCAAATGATAGGACCAGTCAGAACTGGCAGACAGCAAAGATTTCCATTTGGGTCTAATGAAATGAAAAAGGCAAATGCTATGAGATCTTATCTCTAGAAAAATCACAACCTTACACCTCAACACTTTCTTGTCAACGCAGTTTGGTTAATTAATCCATGATTAATCTGGAGAGTTAATTGAATTTGTAGGACTTAATGAATTAATACCCTGATGGAGTTAAGATCCCAATGGAAGTAGAAGCCATCTAATTTTGGTTATTTGTGCAAGCTGTGGATCTGACCTGACAATTGCTTTCTTTGTAAGCAGTGTGGCAGTTAAATGGATGGCAGCTTTGTCCAGATTAAATAGGATGAAATTAGGTGGTGTTTTGCAGGCTCTGCAGTTCAGTTTGTTTTCTGGGAAGGCAGTCAAGAAAAAAAAAAAGCAATAGAAATCTTTGATTATACAAGCATTAGGCCAAAGCAGGAGCTCCTTGGGGAGCTCTAACTCTTGTTCATCTTTGCCTCCCAGTGCTCCAGCACAGTGCCTGGCACATCGTTGTTGATTAACGGAATGCATGAATGAATGATTCCTCCACCCACCTATGCAGTGCATGTTCAATAAATCACCATGTCCAAGCCCTGTGGTAGACACTAGGACTAAAGGGTGAAAAGCAAACCATAGTGGCTGCCATGGGAGAGCTGCCAACCTAATCAGGGTGGCTGTCCCCTGACAAGCAATGGCGCACGATTTGATGCAGCAACAGGTCGTGACAAGAATGGGAGGGGCAGTTTGACATCAGGAAGAACAAGGAGAAAGGTCTGAGGAACCATGGGAGGGTTTCACAGAAGAAGGGACATTTGAGCTAGGTCTTCAACTATGAACAGAAGATGATTCTGGGAAGAGAAGGGGAAACCATATTGCACAAAGTACAGTGTGCATAAAAGGTGAAGGTACAAAAAAACCTTTGATGAATGGTGAGCAGCGTGAACATGCGGGAGGGAGTGGAGAATGGGACTTGATGGGTGGTAGGAATAAGGTTGGGAAAAGTTAAGAATGATGGTTTAGAGACCCTTGGCTTTTTTTTTTTTTTCTGTTTGGACAGAATGCGGAGTCTTGAAGGACTTTCAATATGTGAGTGTCATGGTAGGATCCATGTTTTAGGAAGGAGTTCATACAGGTGGATAGCAGGTGGGTGGAGACTCCTGGCAGGAACCCTGACTGGCAGATGATATTGATGGGCACAGTGAGAGGGCGGAAGAGGAAGAAAGCCATAGTAGGGTAGGAGGACAAAAGGTAAGAGGGTGAAGTTAATGTCTCTGATCTGTAAAATGAAAATAATTCCTACCTATAGGATTATTTTGAGATTTTGATGAGAAATTGCATACAAAAATACCTAAGTAATTATTGCCTGGCATGTCATAAGCCTTAGTAAATATGAGGAGAGATCATGAGAGCCTAGCTGAGGCAGCAGGGGTAGGGATGGAGAGGGAATGAAAATGAGGAGCATTTAGCACATGGATGAGAAGGCTGAGTCATGCTGCTCCCCTGAGAGCTGAAAGCAGTTTTATGCTGACATTTGCTACTGCAGCCTGTGCTGCTGGCCTCATTAAAAACCACAGATGAGGCTTGGGGTGCTTGACCTTGGGTTATCCTAGGATTGTCAGATACAGCCAGCAAAACAGAGGTAGGTTGCAAGCAAGGGAGGCACTGAGCTGGGTGACAGCAGCCACACCTGAGCCTCTGCCTGCTTGCTCCTGTCGTGGCAGGAACCCAGGCACGTTCTGCCTCTGCACTGTGGTGCATGATCGTTCCTTGTTCTTGAGCAGCAGAACCATGTGGGCCCTCAGTGCGGAGGAACAGATGTAATCCAAACTGGGGAGCAGGCTCAGGCATGGAGACAAGCATCTGTGAGTCCCGAGTGGGTGTCTCACAAGGAGAGGTTTGAGGGGTGCCATGAAAGACCTTGTCCAGAATTTTTCTTCTGGTCTGAAGGTCCATTAGGAATCTGATCCTTTGGATCTGAAAGTTCCTTTGTCTCCCATTGAATGCAGATATCCCAGGGAAAGGTAGTAGAGGTAACAATGGTAGCAGAAATGATAGTAAGGGAACAACTGATGTGTTGTTTAGAGAACTGTTTGTTGCCAGGCACTGTGCCGGGCTCTCTTATTTATTATTTAACTGTTCCTACAGTTGTATGAAGTGAATATGTTGATGCATCCAGATATCACAACTAGGAGATGTTATGAAACGGGATTAAACACACACATCATGCAGTTTTTGAGAGCACAGAAAGTGAGAGCGAGGGCAAAAGTGAGAGTGAGAGCCGGAAGGTAGAGGATGTGGCGTGTGGGATGCTGGGTAGGTGCCCCCAGAAGTGAGAGGAAAGGAGAGATGAAAGAGTGGAGAAGAAGCTGAATTCTGGTCAGGACTGGCCCTGCTTAGCTCATAGCCATTGGATTTACCTGTCTGCTCCCCCAACCACCGCCCTGTTTTGTCAGCCTCTGGTTTGGAAATACAGAAAAACAATCACATGGGGCACAAACAGAACTGGATTAGAGTTAAGGAAGCAAATAGAGATTCAGTTTTAGGCAAGTGTGTCCAGCCACAGTCAGGACAAGCAGAACAGATTCCCAGGGCCAGGATGGGGGTGCCGGAGGCTTGGCCTTTTGCATTGTTCATATAAGGTACAGGGCATTGCTCCCAGTAGCTGTCCACAGATGGACTCTGAGGGATGTTACCTAAGAGTTCTCACTGGAAC